AAGCCCACTCATCATGCATGAGGCCCATTGTATTCTCTATAGTTACTAAGCTCCAACATTTGTTCTATTTATTAACCAGATTACCTTTGCAAGCGATAGTCCGACTGTAAGCCGCTTAAGTATGTATGTACTTTGAGCATCGATATTCACGTAGTATTTTGTATGCATGTATGTATGTTATTATACAGAGTTTGAGTTTAATAATATTTATTAGTAAATAATCTCTCAAATGGAGATTATTCAACATTGGTGGAGTTTATATGTATACATGGATATAAGTAAAAAATTCGCATAAAAATAAAAAAAAAAATCTAAGAAATCATAATAAGGAGATTTTTATGCTGTTTTTGAAATTTTTCAAAGATTGTAATCCCGACGGTAAAAAGGCAACTTTTTTGGTGATGCAGTCTAATGTACATATTGTCGATGTTTTTGCAAAACCGCCCCTCGACCAGTTGCAAAACCGCTTAAATCGCCGTTGTGGCAAAAATGAGATTTGGTAACCCTGAACTCCAGGCATCGAGATTTATGCATAAAAATCATTAAATCATTATTAAAACAACAGATTTGTAAAATAATAGCCAGACAATATAACACCTATCAAGGCAATGCCTTCAAAGAATAAACCGTTTTTTCGCTTTCCTGTAAAATTTGAGTGCCGTAAGATAGGCGGTTTTGCAATTAATTGGTGGATGGGCGGTTTTGCAAAAACATCGACGATATGTATGTATGTGGACTTTTATGCGTACATATTTGTATGTACAGTGCCAGACAAAAGTATTGGCACACATGTTTGTACAGGTCGTACACATATATATATATATATACAGTGTCGGATAAAAGTTTTTTATTCTAATTTATTCTCGATATTTTTTTATAAAAATATATGTAATTCGTACTTCACCAAAAACTGTACAAAAAAAATCTCTAAGCTTTGTACAAAACTCAAGTAAATTCAACAAATTTGCATACTAATTTGCAACTTTCTATTCAGATTTTTTAGAAAAATTCCAAGTATGCTTTAAAACTGCCCATTCAATTTTAGTATAACAAAGTGCAAGTTTGAAGTTGCTAAAAATTCGCATTAATTTTTTGGAATTTTTTTCACTCAGATAGTTCCATACAAAGTGTGTTCGACAATTATTTTTTGTATGGAGAAATTGCCAAAAATCAACGGGATTTTTTAGATACTTCGAACTTGCACTTTGTTATACTAAAATTGAATGGGCTATAAAACTGAATTTTTCTAAAAAATCTGAATAGAAAGTTTATTGAATTTTTCTGAGTTTTGCACAAAGTTTGCAAAAGTACGAACTATATTTTTATTAAAAAATATTGAAAATAAATTAGAATAAAAAGCTTTGCATGTATTGCGAAAATTCCTCTGTGCCCATACTTTTGTCCGGCACTGTATGTAGCTCGAGAATGTCCAGAAACAAGTATAAATGCTTCGGCGCGAACACTGCCCGCTAACAGTAATTTGTTGCTATTCAAAGCGTTTGGTTGGCGTTTTGTTTAAAGTTTAGTTTTTATTTCTTAGTGATTAATCAAATTTTAATAAAATAAACCACAAACAAAAAATACCAAAGGATGTTTACCATTATCGCCGTAATCGTAGTCAGCACGCTAGTCGCACTACTCACCTACGTCTATGCCAATTATGGACGTCGATACTCATTAGGCCGCCGATTTCGCGGACCACCAGCGCTGCCCATCATTGGCAATGCGCTACTCTTCCTAGACATTCAGCCAGACGAATTTATCAGCCGCCTCCTGGCGATGATCAAAGAATATGGAAAAACATTCCGCCTTTGGTTGGGCCTCGATCTCAATATTATGATGCACGATTTCCGCGATATTGAAATTTTGCTCAGCTCCCCAAAGTTTACAACAAAATCAGATCAATATCGCTTCTTGAAAGACTGGCTGCGTGATGGTCTGCTACTGTCGAATGGACGCAAATACCAACAACGACGAAAGCTGGTAACACCTGCATTCCACTTCAAGATGATGGAAGGTTTTTTAAACTGCTTTCACGAGCATTCCGGGGTGTTGGTGGAGCAAATGAGAAAGATATGTGCTGAAAGGCGGTCGTTTGAGCTGCTGCATACGGTGGGTCTCTGCATGTTGGATACAATTTGTGGTAAGTGATTGCGTGGAAGCGGAATGAGTGAAAATATTGAATCATTTGTGGCCTTTTGCTCGTTGATGTCTTCGCAGACACAGCAATGGGTGTGCATACGCAAGCGCAACGCAATGGAGACTCGGAATATGTAAGAGCACTGAGAAGGTGAGTTAGTATAGAAATATGTAAAAGTCACTAGTGTAAATGCAATCACAGTGAACAACGAGTTTATTGACTTTCCGAAATGAGGATGAAGCCATTTGCTCGTCCGAGGTTTGTAAGATGGAATGGACGAAGTAAGAAACCTAGTGGCAGAGTGGTCTTAGAACTTTCTCGAAATTCCGTTGCTTCAATAGCAATGCCGAGAGCTTAGGAGACCAGAACAGCTTCCAGAGTCGACACCTTGCTCCGGCTATGAATGCAGTCTGAACAGACCAAACAGAAATTACGGAAGACAAGCAGACCGAGGGTTCCGTGAGCTACTGGGAAAACAACGTTCTGGTAACTTAACCTTCTGCGACTCATTGACTAAATATCGTAGTTATACTGACATGTTGTCTCTCAGACGCATCGATTCCGGAAATCCCCGCATTAGGGATCTCAATATGGAGATTCGGCAGCTTGTGAACGTACATGAGCGGATGAAGTGGGAAGAGCGTCTGCCGACTTGCAACTTCACCTCTGGTGTGAGTAAGCCTTGGTCAACCGTGAGGTCATTGTCCAACCCGAAATATCTTTCGGCGACCGCGCCTCGTCGGATCCGGAGCGATGCGTGAGTTATTTTAGCTACAATTCCAAAAATCGAGTGATTAGAAGGCTGCACAAACTGCCAATACCAAGTGCTTTCACCAGCGGTGAGGTTCAGATAGCCATCGAGAAGGCGAAAGCCTCCAAAGCCAGGGACCTAGTGGAACAAATATGCATGCTGATGCTGAAAAATTTGGATCTTCCGGGAGTAGATTACATCACCAAGGTCGTCAACCTGTCAATGGCCACTCTCCTCATTCCAGATATCTGGAAAATGGGGAGAGTGGTCCCACTACTCAAACCGGGGAAACCGTCAGACCGTCAAATCAAGCAAACCCACAAATCAAACCGGGGGTCCCACAGGGAGGTGTCCTTTCCCCACTACTATTTAACTTTTATATTTCTAAGCTCCCTCAACCACCAGAGGGAGTCTCGATTGTCTCTTATGCTGACAACTGCTCGATAACGGCCTCTGGGAATGGATTTGATGACTTGTGCTCGAAAGTAAACGGTTACCTCGCGGAGCTTTCTCGCTTCTTCACTGCAAGGCGCCTAACCCTCTCCCCAACAAAATCCACGGCAACCCTTTTCACCATGTGGACGAAGGAGGTCAGACTGCAGCTGGGTATTCACGTCGACAGCGAACCAATTCTGACCGAGAATAACCCCAAAATCTTTGAAGTTACTGTCGACAGTCTTCTCTCCTTCACGGCGCACACAGCCGTAATTGTCAATAAAGTACACACCCGCAAAAAGGTTCTCAAGTCGCTAGCCGGCAGCCTCGGTATATTCGGACCACAATAGTCCAACTTCGCTCTGGCTACTGCAGAAGTTTAAACTCGTACCTGAGCAGATTAGATGCGGATGTGCCCAGCATGCGAAGAGACACCCCACGACTCGAGACGTCTCTTCGCTTGCCCACTAAACTCCACTCAACTAACGCCGCTGTATCTACGGACGGACCCATAGAAGCTGCACGCTTCTTAGGTCTCCAGTTAGTTGAGCTTGACGATAACGATTGACGGACTAGCCGATCTGGGTGGGGTTGTTGTAGCCGCTAGAACAACAACAAGCTACAGAACGCGTAGACTAAATAATTGTTTGCCTATCCGAAGAAAATGCCCATAATTGGATTCAGTGAAATGTCATCAAGGGGCCCAACGCATGGCTTTCTATGTACAATATTTTAGACCTTCGCTTTGATTGTGTTTATAACAGGCGCCATAGACGGTGCGTCTGACTAGCGAGTCATCTGTGTGCGTGTTTATTTTTTCTCAAATGTTTCTTGGTCCACCTTTTCCTTCATGTATGATCTTCTAAACTTTTTGCAGCTTGACGACAATTCTTCACCTTCGCATGTTCAATATCAAATATTACTTCGATTTCATTTTTCGTTTCACACCGGAGGGGAGAGAAGCGAAACGCGCCCTCGCCATCTTAGACGACTTCGCAGAGCAGGTGATTCTTGAACGACGCACAGAATTGATGCAGGTACCGGAAGAGCAAGGCAGAGGCAACGAAGTGGAACTTTCTATTGGCATAAAGCGCAAAGAGGTCTTATTGGATATTTTGCTGCGTTCGTCAGACGACGGCAAACCGCTATCGAACACGGATATCCGCGAGGAGGTGCTCACATTTATATTTGCCGGACACGACACGACTTCATCGGCGTTAATGTTCTTCTTCTACTGTATCATCACGAATCCGGAGTGCGAGCGAAGGTGCTATGAGGAGGTTTGTAGTATTTTCGGCACAGATCCGACAGTCATCGAAATAACGCGTGAGAATTTAAGCCAGCTGCATTACGTGGAGATGTGTATTAAGGAAGCGCTGCGTATGTACCCGCCAATAGCGCTGATCGGTCGCAAAGTGCTGGAGGAATGCACAATGAGTGAGCATGCTTTGTCGTTATAAATTTTAAATTAAATTATTTTTTCAATGAAAACCTTTCCATTGTAAGATGACCACATTCTACCCGCCGGCGCCAATATTGGCTTCTCTCCATATCTGTTCGGTCGTCAAAGTGAGCTATATCCAGAGCCGAACAAATTCAAGCCGGAACGCTTTGATCTGACGGCACGCGAAGATGACACAAAACCGAATCCATATATGTTTACGGCCTTCTCGGGAGGTCCACGCAGCTGCTTGGGTTCAAAATATGCTGTGCTACAGATGAAAGTGGTAATTGTGAATGTATTACTCAATTTTCAAATGGAATTTGTTGGGGATACGCCGGAGGAGCCGACACCTTTTTCTGAAATAACGCTGCGTACGAAAGATCCGCTAATGTTCACGTTGCGGGAACGTAGAGAAATTAGTGGAATGTAAGCAGTAGCATTTTGAGGAACTCTTTTTTTAATATTTTAAAAAGCTCGATCGTTTTTAAAATAGATTAGAAATTATAAAAAAAAGATTACAAAAAAACAAAAATAAAATAAATAAGATATTTAGAATTCTTAAAATAGCTTGATAAAAAGAAATACATATCGTCATCTGAAATGTCAAAAGACGTAACAAACATGGTCGCTGAAATGCGTAACTAATAAAAAATTCAAAATTCACTTATTGATTGATATGATGGATTTAATGGAATTACAATTCCCACGTCATTTTAAAAAAAAAACAAGAATTATTAGTCACGACTTTTTCCATTTTAGTGTGATGTTCAGATGTTGTTACGTCGTTTTGTATTTCAGGTGACGATATGCATGTACAAATTTAAATAATTATCTAGTTTAAAAATGTAATAACTTTTTTACAAAGTATAGAAAAAAATAAATTTTTTAAGAACGCATGTAATTGACACTCGCTTTCCAACTAGCGTTGTAGTGTAGTAGCGAATAAAAATTTAAAAACCTACACGTTAATTTACATAGCCAATTTAATAAAAAAATATTTGTAATATGTATTTGTTTATACAAAATTTTCATATTTAGTATTGAATAGGCCTTTAGACATAAATGTGCTTGTGTTTAGACCGTAAGTAGTAGATTAAGTAATAAGACTTTAAGATTAGTTGTAACTTTAGCGAGAGAGAGCCGTTTATTGTAAGAGGCTATATGTCATTTAAAAAATATATAAAAAAATAAATAAAAAGATCATTCGATTTTGGACATCGAGACCGATGACCGCGTTGCAGTATTTATCTAGTACTAGAAAGGTTTATTAACGTGGGCCGAAAATCCGCTTTTTTAGAATTTTGATTGGTAATAGCAAAAATATTGTTCATTATGCTAAAAAAAATCTCTGTTAAAGATGAAAATTTTTGGTCAATATGTGAAATTGAAAAAAAAAATTCAGGTTTATTCAATGAATTTTTCCCTACTTGACCTTCAACTGACCACGAACCTGACGTGGTGGAGACTAACGGACTTCGGATTCGCATTCAGCGTGTCGAATAACATAGGGATATATAGGTTTGGTTTAATGTGCATAAGCTTTTTTTTTTGTAAACCTGTGTTATTGATATTAACATCAGCTGTAAGTTTCTAATTATTTCAAAAATATAAAAAGTTGACTTAAAAGGACTTAAAATTTAATTTTATCAAAAATTTAATTAAATACATATGTGCGCAGTGCACACCCGGTAGAAGTGGAACCTTCGTAAAATCATCGGAATTTTATTGTAGTATTTTTGGAGGATCCAAGATACTTCTGGTATGTATTTTATTAAACTCTCGTGGATGAATTCAATACTTGTATTTACTGGTTGATTGGTATAAATATAAATTGCCACAAATATAACTGTTCTCCCTTGGTCCAGCCTGCTTTCACAAGCAAATTTGAACAGACATTAGGGGTATTCACGATGCGGTGCATACTGTATAGAATGATACATATGTAGCATCATAAATAGCATTATTGGATAATTTTCTTGGTGTTTCATGTGTTCAAACAACAACAAAATTAGCCAATCATGCTATCCATACACCATTCTAGACAGTATGCACCGGATCGTGAATACCCCTATTGATTCCAATTTTTGTGCATTGAGTTCTACAGCTCCGCCTACTCTTGTCATTGAACTTTTAAATTGAATTACTATATCAAAATCAGTATTGTCTAAAGCTTTCTCATTATCCACCCACGTCTCTAGAAGAGTTAGAAAATTCAACGATGATGCTATTCTGTCTATTTGAATATTCTGTATGTGAGCGCGTAAACTTTGGCAATTGAAGGTAAACAGTGGCAACCCTTTCCTTGCATTATAAAATCATATAATACTTTTTCAATTGTTTCAAGTCGATTCAGATGCAGCCTTTGAAATTAAGCTTGCAACTTAATTTTCTATACTTTTTATTTTTATTTTAACGAGATGTAGCCTTTAAATCGATGTAACTCATGATAATGCGAGGTACAGGAGCTGTTGAGCGTATACGATCTCACCAAATGACCTTGTTATCGCACATGCAGAGACCAGAGGAAAATGGTCACGCTTTACCAGATACTATTTTATCAGGTACCAATTCTATAAAGGATGTCCTGCGATCTATTCGTACCACCAGTGGAGAAAGATTGTGCTTTTGTATTGATTTCGCTGCTTTTCTTTTGATTTTTTCGCCAGTTTTGGGAGAATGAGGAAATTCCAGCCATAAACGAGCACACAACACACAAACTTTTATCGGCTTATTGGCCACTCTGCAAAAATCGTTGGACATGTGGTCCATTTGTGCTATATTGGAGTACATACTTACAAAATGCTCATCTGTGATGCAGTAGCCATCAAGTATGTCATCTCAAAAAAAATTTAAAAAATCACAATCGTAGCTGTGAGTATTGCGCAATTTTCAACTATAGTATTGCGGGGTGCACTCTACAACAATTTGAGTTATGATTTTTTTTGCACCGAAGTTGAGCAAAATGAGTCATTACAAATTTACAAAAATTTTTTTATTTTTTTTTATAATTTTTTTGAGTATGCAGCATAATAAAGTG